ACACTAGAGTATTACACTTTTAAGATAAAATGAACCACATTGCCACTGTACTTGTAACGCCCCAAAACATACCCTAAAATGTAATGAATAAATTATTCAATTAATCAAATTTGTTTTGATTAAAATAAATTGTTGTTTGACTTAGGGCCAAAATAAAATATTTTTTGATACCCAATATCACAATTTGGATAAGTCTCATATAGATAAATCCAATATGTTGACTATTTGTGTGATCTTGATTGGGAACTTGAGTACAGACCTAAATTAAGAGTAAATGGAGAATTTGTTTATGATGTGAACCTTGAAGTTATTTATTGAAAAAAATAATGAGAATAATTAATAAGAATTAAATATGAGAACCTTTTTGAATAAAATCCAATTGAATCAATTTTGACTTTGTCAAAGTCAAACACCCAAAAATATGATGTCGGAAAAAGTATCACAAATAATTATGAAAAGTATCTCGTTGAATAGAGTTCGACTATTTGATTGCAATGGTGCAAACAGAACTCAATTCAGAGAAAGTTGGACCAAAAAGTGTATCCTGACTGGAACCAAAATTGGTCCCAATCAGAGAACTGTTTAGTCGGCGCCTCCCAACGCACTAGCCCATCAATCATCATCATCTTGCGTCTTCTTCCCCCTCACCAACTCTATATAAGGAATAATCAAAATCTTCAAATCTGCACCATTCTTTATAAAATTAATCTCATTAGAATTCTAAGAGTGAGGAGAGCATTTTGCAATAGTTTGTTGCCGCCAAAGTCGCTGGAGCAAGTCGTGGTGTTCGCCGGAAGTTTCACCATCCAATCGCTGGAATCATCGTTAAGCTACAAGGTAAGCCCGTAGATATATCTAGTGATTAGAAAGTTCGTATAGATCGTTTTTACGTTCATAAACGGTTGTTTGGTTGAGTTTTGTGTTTGACATGTTTGAAGAACCAAGAATCATAAACCTTGAATTTGTTGTTAAAACTTTGAATTGATGCCTCTAAAATGATCTACGAACCTTGGAGAACATTTCTATATAGTTTAATTGAAGTTTGGTAACCAAAAATGAAGTTTGAGGAAAATGGCCGAAGGAAGAAAATGATGAATAGTAATTTCTATGCTGATACGGGACCCTGGTACCGTGACTAGGTACCGTTACCAGGGACCGTAAGAAGAACAAAATTTTCAGAACGATACGGTCGACCGTTCGGACCCAACGGTCGACCGTTACCAACATTTTTTCAGTCTGAAAATGCTATTTTTGAAGCTATAAAATCTTATTTTTGATACCAATCAATTTTGAATAGTGTAAAGATTATTTTTAACTATGAAAATGATGTTTTTAACAAATAAAATATTATGTGATGCATGACGGTAAGTTAGGGTGTTAACACTCGAAGCTAGGCTACTGTTTCTTATCAATCGATATGTTAATGGATGATTATGATAAATGAATATTATGGATGATTATGAATAATGAACCTACTGATTAAAATGATTAATTATGATTGAATCAGGAGTAAAATGAATACATTTATAATTATGAAATGATTTGTAGGGTTAAGGATATCTAGAAGAACTATAAGATATACTCATTTAGAAAATTAATGTTAAGACTATCTAGAAGATCTCTAGAATAGAGCTCATATTAGTATGGATTTGTGAAACATGAATATTCAGTGATTGGATGAAAATGTAATAACAGAATTCGTAGACCAAACAGGAGAATCACTTGATTGGAAATACTTTGACTCAATGATGATTAATCACTATATTGTTGTTTGCCTTAAACTAATTAAAGTTTAAGCATCAGAGAAATATTGCCTTAAACTAATTAAAGTTTAAGCGTCAGAGTACTATTGCCTTAAACTAGTTATGGTTTAAGCGTCGGAGAATTGTTGCCTTAAACTAATTATAGTTTAAACGCCTAAGGATTGTTTGCCTTAAACTAATCATAGTTTAAGCGTCTGAGAATGAAATTATGATTTGGCCTTAGACTAAGAATAGCTAAAAGCATTTTTATTATCGTTGGCCTTAGATTAAGAATAATTTAAGAGCACTGTCGAAATAATATCTGAATTGAATAAAATGTGTTGATATGAACTGAACAATATAAAAATTGTGAATGTCTGAAATGAACATTGTGTGCATGATATCAAATGATTTGATTATGAATTTAGACTCAATTTATATGCATGTTCGACGCATTAGATATGCTTACTCAGCTTTACCGCTGAGCATGTAGTGGATTTTATTTGCTACACGCAGGTAAAAAGAAAGAACAATGTGATTCTGATGGCAGATGGGGTGAGATTTTCGGGATGGATGTTACAAGTTTTGAAATGAATTATGATATGTCAATATTAAATTCGCTTCCGCAATATTGTTGAATACTCCGTACTGTGTATGTTATGAAAAATATTATTGTGATAAATAAAAGTATTTGAAAAGTTTTAAATTTTTACGATCACCAAGTTAATACTTTAGTCTGAAAGGGGCTGCAGACCGGGACGGATTAGGGTGTTACAGTACTTCATATGTCTGAACCAAAACTCAAAGCCATAGAAAAAACCCACTACAGATGCACCCAAAATTAGGGGTGGGTTCAGTTTTGGCGGTTCGGTTTTTACCCAAAACCAAAGACAAAACGGAAGGTAAATTAGCGGTTCGGTTCGGTTTTGCATAAAAAATATGTAAACCGTTAGTTGGTTATTCGGTTCGATTTTATGTGGTTTTCATTTTGGTTTTTTTCGGTTTTTTCGGTTTATAAAAGTAAATATTTATAAGCATTAAAAATTGTATAAATACTACGAAGCAATAACAACACGTAAGTTTGGGTTTGGTTTTTTTGCTTGATTTTTACACAAAAAAAAGCTGAACAGAAGGTTAGTGTTCTATTCGGTTCAATTTTACATACAAAATATGTGTCAAGTGCCTAACGAACATTTAGGAGATTCCAAATAATCCTAAAGATATCGTATGTAAAATCAATTGCAGAGAATTTGTATTGTTTTGATATAATACTTTCATTTTTATTATAACATCAAAGTTTTTTTAAATGTAAATATGTTAACTACTCATATTAATTTTTAATGTTATATAATTTTATATTAGGATTAGTTATTAGGGTTTATATTCATAGATTTTTTAAAGTTTATAATATGGTTAAAATGTTTAATTCATAGTTAAGAAAAATATAACGGTTCAGTTTGGTTTTTTACATTCAGTTTCGGTTTTTCGGTTCGATTTTTTTTCTAGCTCGTTTCGATCGATTTCGGTTCAGTTTTCGGTCTTCCCAACCCAGCCCTACCCAAAATGCACTTCGGGTAATGTCGAAGATCCCTTAACATCGACATGCAATAAAACCTAAAACCCCAAATCTAAGACACCTCTTGCGAATGCAATATCTCTCAACCACCTCCTTCACAAGGTCTCCTTCGTCTTGCGGCGGGCACTACGCGTCTCACTCTGTTACCAATTTCACTTGAATCAAAATCTTGGAGAATGCAGCGCCGACGGAGGAAAAGGGTTATGGAAGAATGCAAAAGACTTCTATTCAAGGCAAATGCGTAAGTGGCGGGATATTAAAGATCTGCACCTTTTATGTCTTTTAATGTACGTCTCCAATTCCAGAAATGCCCTTCCACGTGTCTGTCTCATTTTCCATACCCCAATAACAATTACCTTTCCTTTTATAAAATACTTACTTGTGCATATTGGAGACCACACGATGGATTTAATCAAATGGATCTACTTCATTCTCATTTCTTTCACAACAACCTATTCTCACTTAATCCACCCCTATATATATATATATATATATATATATATATATATATATATATATATATATATATATATATATATATATATATATATATATATATATATATATCGTTTTTATGTAAAATGACCTACTACAATCAGATGACGTAAAACTCACCAGTGACAACTACAAAGTTCATCAAGTTATATGGCAAAACTCATTGTCTTTTTTCAACACTTTCTTTTTTCAAAAACAAAACCAAAAGAGTACACTTGGACTCATGTTGACTAGACTTTGACCATTGACTGCCACTGTCTGCCGATGGCCACCTGTTGTCGTCGCCACTGCCGGTCGATGGTGGTTCAAGTCACCCTTTGATTTAAAAAAAATCAACCTAAAAAATTCGTGAGTTTTGTGTGTGCTTGGTTAGCTTTGCAGTGAGGATTGGCGAGCTTTATTCTTAGAGTTTGAGAGCATTGAAACTTCAAAGTTTTAAAATTTCAATGTCTGAAAAAATCATGGTGATTTTTTCAACTCTTTCTTTTTTTTCAAAAAAAAACCAAAATAGTACACTTTGAATCATGTTGACTGGACTTTGACTGTTGACTGCCGTCGTCTGCCAGCAACTGCCACCACCAGTTGCCGTCACTGGTCGCCACTTGTTGTCGTAGCCGCTTCCAGCCAATGGTGGTTTTAATCACCCTTTGATTTTTTTTTTAAAAAATCAACCTAAAAATTTCGTGAGTTTTGTGTGTGCTTGGTAACCTTTGCAGTGAGGAGTGGTGAGCTTTATTCTTAGAGTTTGAGAGCATTGAAACTTCAAAGTATTAAAATTTCAAAGTGTAAAAAATCAGGGTGATGTGTTTTTCCATACATTTTGTTGAGCATCGTTGTAGTCCTTGGTGAGCTTTACAGTGATCCGTGATGTCATCTGACCGTAGCATGTCATCTTACTATAAAGTATCATCTGACTAAAGTTGATATATATATATATATATATATATATATATATATATATATATATATATATATATATATATATACATATATATTCAATGCGCAAAATTGGAAAAAAGAACATTCATTCAAAATGCATAAGCATTTTACAAAGACCGGGAAGGATTACATAGTTGAAAAACTAAATTACAAACTAAATCCCTTCAAAAGGGGGGCGAGCTCTTAGTCGTGGAGCTCAGGTAGAGAGAAGACCTTGGGATCAAAATCTTGCACCTGGCTGCTCATGATCCTGTACAGCTCGCAGCGCTCCTGGAACTGAGCGGTCTCAAACCCGAAGGTCCTAATGTCATCGATCAGTTGCTGGGACTCCTTGTTTTTTTAGAGGCCCAGGAAGAACCAGATGCCGATCTCCCGGTCAGGAAGTGTCTGAGGAGCAAATTTCTCCGGCTCCTGTGCAGCCCAGGCAGCGACGTGAACAGCCAGGTCGGAGTGTTCCTTTTCCAACTCAGACTTTAGCCGGGCAATCTCCTCTTCTTGCTGGCCCGTCCGCCCAGCCTTTTTCTCCAGCTCGGCGATCTTCCGCTGAGCCTGCTCATCCGACTCCTTCGTAGACTTGAGCAAACCCTTGTGCTGAGCAAACAGACCTATATAGGCTTCGGCCTATTCGACCATCTTCTTTTTCATCTTCTCGACCGCCAACCAGGCTGCCGCATCATCCTTCCGGGCGGTGACCATCATCATAGCCTCCATCTAGAGCTTCTAGTCCGTTTGGAACCTGACTAGCCAGTTGGCCCACTCCTCCCCGATCTGGCCGACCTGCTTTAAGGAGAATTGAAATTTTCAAAAGAGTTTGGAAAAAGAGAATTGAAAAGAAATTAAGAGGTGGAATCGATGCTTACCTCGCTCAGATCGGTGCAGAAGGCGTCGAATAGCTCTGCGTCTGACTGGGACATCAGGGCCATGTCCTGGGGCTCGCCCTTGCCTTTACCGGCGTCGAAGGACTGGATCCCTTCGTCCTTTGCCTATTCCTCTGCAAACCCTCCTCTACAGAGACCTCCTAACCGGCCACTTCCAGTTGCTTGGAGCATTGACCAGCCTCTAACGCATGGCCGGCCTCAAAAAGTATCCCCTCAAACTCCACGGTCTCCAAGTTGACGAAGAGGTCCCTGTAGTGGAGGGGCATAGAAGTCCCCTGATGAGACTGGGGCGGCTGCTCAGCAACAGACTAAGGCTGCCCGGCTGAGGTCCCCACAACTGTGGGGATAGGGAACTTGGAATGGAACTTCACCACTGCACAAAACATAAGACGTGTTATTATAAATGGAGAAGACTCAAACTGGTTACATTACACAGAAGAAAAGAAAAGGGAAGGGACCTTTTTCCTTTTTTCCCTAGCAAGGGGGGTTGTTGGCAGAGGAGCTAGGGACTTGGCCAAGAGGGATCGCCTCTGGGATCTCGTCTTCCCGGACGATTACGGCCTTGGGATCGGACATCGGCCCGGGGTAAACACTCCACTTCATTCCCCACGTCGAAAGGACCGCGGGTGGAAGTGTCCCCGGCCCAGAGTGAGGCTTCCTAGCCGGCCAGGTCATCGGAGGGACCAGGTTTGACCTGGACATTGATCTTTTCCTCCAGGCGTTTCGGGCGAAAGGGAACTCGCCAGGAGGGAAGTTAATCGAAACATGTTTTCTTTTCCACCTCTTGTTGGAGGGGGGGACCGAAAAGGAAGGCCCGGCCCTGATGGGAGGACACCATGACGAATCTAAGGGTCTCCTTGGATCCGAACCGGATATCGAACATGTGATTGAAGAGACGGAGGGAAAGGGGAATGCGAAGAAAACAAGCTTTTCCCAGTGAATATCTATCATTTTAGCTACACACTCTTTCACAATATGTTTTGTGTATTACGGAGTAAATAATTTATCCTTTTAACAAGTACCATATTGGTCCTTAAGAAATGTTGTACATACAAATTAAATATACATATGCATATGATATTATGTTACTATGTGGTCGATCAGTAGGTCACCTTCATTGTATGAATATGATTAATCTTCTTTTGATAGTGCTATTAGTAATGATAACACTATTGCTTCATTAGTAATGGCTAAGAGAATTAGTAAACCCACTTGAATGACATGAATGTTGTTAATGATAGTCTGAAACTTTGAATCTCTTAATCCGATAGAAATACTAAGGGTCCGTTTGGTATACAGAATTGGTGGAATTGGAATTGAATTGGAATTGAAATTCCATGAGATTCAATTCTATAGAATTGAATTCTGTCAATTCCAATTCATTTTTTGCACTATCAATTCCAAATCCACATATTTTTTGTGCCACCAAACACCAGAATTGGAGTTGAAGTCCCCAATTCTAATTCCATAGTTTGAATTCCATGTACCAAACGGGACCTAAGATAAATATTACTTGCATGACTGTTTCCCAATTCAATTGTTAAACTGTCAATTCAATCATCATAAAAATAAGGGTATCTTACAAGTTTAGATAGTCTGAAGTCTAAACAACCTTCATTTAGATTAAGTTTTATTGCAATTTCAATATCTTACTGACTTACTTACACTCTATTGTTCAAAATCACTTGTTTCCATTTGCCATGAATCCCTGATTATTATGATCTGACGTTAGGTACTTATTTTGGCTAACCAAGGGGTTTTGGCACAAATGAATTTGGTCAAGAAATTGGTATCAGATTTTGGCAACTCATGAGGTAAAGTGTTAAATTACGTACAGTAATTGGATGTAAATTTCTTTAGTTATATTTCCGTGTAATAAGTTATCGAGGGTGCTGCTAAATCCATCCCATTTATATATGAGAATTGGACAAATTTATCGTGAATGGAGTATAATGTAAAAACTTAATTTAGATATATTAGCCATTTTTTACAAAAATGGAAGTGTTTTTGGGGGAAAAAAATGAAAGAAAAACTGTTTTTAGGAATAGAGGGAGTACTTTTTTGCACTTGATGGTTCGGTTAAACAACCACAAGTACTGGCAATTCATTTTGATATTGTGTGAATATACACATACTCGGAACATCATTTAGCCATTAGAGCTAGCACCACAAAACTTAAACTGAAATCATACACACAAAAAAACATAGTACTTGCACGCCAAATACAAATCAAGTAATAATTAAAGCAAACTCCACACATATAATATAAAATTAAGGGCTGCTGGAATGCCCTTTAGAATAATAATTAGCATTTTCGCTGTCGTCGTCTCCGAATCTCTCCTGGACGCACCGCCTAGTGGTGAGGTAGCCGATAAAGGTTAAGGCGCCGTGACCAAAACATACCAATCCTCCATAGACTAGAAAGTGTGGGTGAGTTGTCACACACGACCCATTAGATGACTCCTTTATCTTTCGTCCAAGCCCTAGAAGTATGGCCCCCGCAATGAATGTACAACTGCACATCACAAATTTATTAGGAAATTCTTTGTATACTCTCTCCCGTTCCCAATTTGATTACAAATTGGGTTTCCAAGAAAAATATTTCACTTTTTGAAATCATTTTATTTACAAATCAGTGTATCGATAAGAAATAAAAATTACATATTAAAAAACTACATCAAAAGTTCTACAAAACAAGAGGTGAAAAGAATATTTTATTTTATCAAATACTTAACGATATCGCGTAAACAAACAAAAGTTATCGAGAGGAGAAAGAAAAAAAATGTAATCAAATTGGGCATGGACCTTTAATCATTTTTACTTTTTCTTTTTCACGATCTCAAACGTAACACTTAATCATGTTAGACCATTAATATATCTTCTCTTATATATCCTCCGCATACTACTCCTTCCGTCCCACAGAATATTTCTTGTTTTAAATTTTAAGAGATTTAAGAGAGTATATTTTGATGTTAACTTTCTAAAAATGTCTTTGGATGTGATAGGTAAAAGTATATGTAATGGATAAATTAGTGTTGAAAAAGTGTGATGTGATAGGTAGGTTAAGAATTAGTAGGGATAAAAGTGACTTTTAAATAGAAATGAGAATTTTTTTTTAGCATGGATGAAAAAAGAAAAGAGATAGGTATTGTGGGACAACAGTATTATACACACACACACACACACATATATATACATACATACATATACACACACACACACAAACACTTCCTCTGTCCTTAAAAGATTGTCACCGTTTAACTTTTTTGATCAAACAGTGGCACTTTTTCCTGTGAGTTATAGAAAAAGTATATTTAGTTATAATGTAAATTTAGTGAGATTGGACTTATTTTAAAATATAGTTTTAAAATATCAAATTTTTATAATATTTAACTATTTTAAATTATATTTAATTCATAGTCAAAGAGTGTCACAGTTTGACCAAAAAGATCAAATTGTGACAATCTTTTAGGAACGGAGGGAATATATTATAAAAACGTGTTTCAAATTAATCCATTAATATTAAATTTTTATAATAAATCCATGATTTTTCATCATTAACGATCAAAATTTAAAAAATTTAGTCAGGAAAATCAAAATCGGATGAACATTTTTGGACGAATGGAGTAAAATCCATAATTCTATCTACTCCCCTCGTCCGTGAAAACTCTTCATGTTTTGACTTTTTTTAGTTAAATAGTGACACTCTTTGATTACAAATTGTGAGAAAAGTATATTGATTTATAATATCGTTTCGCTTTGGTCAAACTTATCAAACTTGTACTCGGAAAATTATCCGAGTCACTATTTAAACTTATCAAACCTTAACATCCTACGTGTCTCATGAAATATTTCAATTTGGGTTAAATAGATACAATTACATTTACTTTTCTTAGATGTAACTGAACATATCTCAACTACCTTTTACGTCATACTCATTTTGATAATTTTCCGAGTCACTATTTAAATTATTTTATCGTTTCGCTTTGGTCAAACTTATCAAACTTATCAAACTCTTCATGAAATATTTCAATTTGGCTCAAGTTTTGTATTTTTCCGTCTCGTAAAACATTTCCTGTTTTGGAGTTTAAAAAGTAAAAATGTACAAGTTTGACCAAAGCGAAACGATAAAATAATTTAAATAGTGACTCGGAAAATTATCAAAATGAGTATGACGTAAAAGGTAGTTGAGATATGTTCAGTTACATCTAAGAAAAGTAAATGTAATTGTATCTATTTAACCCAAATTGAAATATTTCATGAGACACGTAGGATGTTAAGGTTGAAGAGTTTTACGTGACGGAAAAAGTATTTAGAAAACTTAGGATTTTAAATTTGAACTTGATGAGGTAAATTCCCCTAATTCATCACAAAACTTGATTGGAGACTCACATGCCTCCACTTATCATTTAAAATTAGAATGTAATGTAGAAAATTTATTGAAACTAAAAAGATTGATTTAATTAAACATAAACTCACTATATATAATAACTGCAAGCTAAACCTAATTAAGAGCTCATTACTAGGTCCATTATTATTAGAAAACCCTAAAACATATCCTAACAACGTACGAACCTTATTATATTGAGCAAATTGTGCCATAATACAAAGAATTGCAGCACCAATATCCAGCATAACACCCAAGCCAAAAATCAGAAGCGTGGGAAGATGCATCTTATTATAAGCGTGGCGCTAATAATGACTTACGTACAATAATTAGGTAATTAAGTTTTGTAATAACTAACTAATTGTTTACTTAATAATTGCTTAATTTGGTGAGGCCAAGAAGGTATATATAGTACTCGAGTATATAGAAGCAGCAGTGAACTTAGTGGTTGGCCGTAAATATTGCGGACTTGTACGTATAGTAGAAGCTAGCTCATCTTATGAATAATGTTGCTTTTAAATATTTCTTTAAAAATAATTAAAGGTTAAAGACGGATGGGATCGGAGTATTATATTTGAATGACAAAAAATTAACATGTAATCATTGGAAAAGTTAGCCTCTTTTATGACCTTTCAACAACCTTTGTTTTACAAGTCTTTCTTTCAAAATAGAAAAAAATGAAAAATTCTCATCCTTTCAAAAAGAATACTCCTTACATTTTTTTCTTCCTAAACTAATGTTAAGAAAACATAATACAA